CAGATTTAAAAACAACTTATCTTAATATAAGATTAAGTAAAAAAATTAACCTTAATTAAATATAACCCTTCCAAACCTAACCTTGACCTTGAACTGCTAGACTCCATCAACTAGTTTTCACTCGAAATACCATTTATTACATAAAAACTACGGCACGAGTCTTAATAGGAATTTGTAGCCTTTTTTGAGTCTTCCTAATGTTAATATCTGATTATAATTTACACAAGATGAAGATGGAGCATTCCCAGAATCACTAACTAAACAGTACTACTTTTGACTTCTAAATTTAAACGTAATTTGTTTACTTAATCTCAAGAGAAAGATAAATTTAAGTTAAAAAACTTAACAATGTTACAAACTAAAGGTGATTTCAAGTAGATATTTATAAATTAATTGAAGATTTTGTTGTAATATAAACAAAGTTTTTAAATACAAAGACAGCTTTCAAATTAAACTACTACTGAGTACAGTGAAATGTGCAATATAACAGCTAGATAATAAAAGTGGTTGAATACTCGAATAGTAGGAAGTATCATATGACGACGATCATATTGTGGATAGTCCAAAAAATCATATTTGCCGTCATAAACATTTTTAAGTTCAGTATCCCTTTATGTTTGCCATAGCATATAGACAGTGCTTTTCAATACCTCTAGTTTAATAAGCAGCAAACTCATTTAATGCACAAGTCATTGTCTTAGCTCAACAAAGACTACATTGAAAAGAAAATATTTCCATAAATTTCAATGCATACTCACACACTAGGAACCAAATATGCATCTGCAGCCACAGTCAATAGTGCATTAGGATGATCTCTTTATATCAAATTACCTCTTATAAAACACCAGTTATAGTCCTATGTATTCATCTCTCCCTCATAGTAATACTGATAACATTGTGCAGGAAATAGAACATGCAGTGAAAGGGAAGTTTGTCTTCAGTTTGCATGATTCAAAGGTCATGCAAACTGAAGACAAAATCAAAGATAAGAGCCAAAGATTCTATCTTTAAATCCCACAAACTGAGTACAATTAAGTCTCATTTAATGTTAAAATATTCTTTAAAACAGCAAAAATGTGCACAGAAGGTCTATCAATCTCCATATTATATACACAGCTATTTAAATCTTTAAATGAGCAGCACTTATCAACTACCAGTTGTAACTTCTTTTCTAAAGCAAACAGCTTTGTAGAGGACAGGGTGGAGGGAGATTTATATGACCTGGGAAGTACAACGCTTTCCAGAGACGAGTTTTGGCTAACCTCTTAATGCCATAACCAATGGACGTAAGTCGGTACTCGTCTACCTCCTCGTATTCAGTTTCTTGGATGTAACCGAATGCAAGTAGGTATTAATTTACGACTAATGTATTTTAAAAAATAATACCAAATACCAGCATAAATAATTTCTTCTTTCCAAAATTGATAGCTAAAATTATTCTTTATTCTTTGATAAAAATTATATACTTCTTTCACTTTATAGTGGTTCAAACTAACATCTAAAAAACTTTAAAAGAGTTATATAAGATAAGACAGACAACAGAATAATCACATTAACCTTTATACGAGGAGATAAATAACTCGATATTAATATAAAAAATATGCGCAATGTTTAAAGAAGACGGTCGGACATTTTAAACGACTTTATACATGTTTCGGAAATAAAACTATTACTATTAATTTATTATAATTTACTCTGTATTCATAAGTCTATGTAGAGACGTTCATTTTTCCCATAGAAAAATCATTTTTATAGTATAAATTAGACAAATAGCTACATATTATTTCGACGGATGTATCAGTTATCTGTGGTGTACTTTAGAGCAGTTCTAGTCTTATTTAATCTTTACATATTAAATATAGAATTTGATTAAACAATATAGGCAAGTATATCAGACAAAACAGGATTCCTGTGTTGTTAGAACAAAGGTTCACAATATTTAAGTATTAACTAAGTAAATAAATACTAAATTAATAACAATTATAATTTGTTATTTATTGACTATTTCAAGATAAAATAGCGAATCGTGTGCAGAGGTAATACAATTCTTCTCGTCGGAATTGGGTATCGATAGCATTTTCAAGTGTACGTTACATAAGACATAATTGGAAGTGCGTGTTAATCACCAATAACAGCAGATTTAAGAATAGATATCCACTTTAATTATGATTTTTCAATAAATATTACAGTAGAAAGTAGTAGTTTCTTGTTCTTATTTAATCAGGACATTCCTTCCATACTTATTTAGTAATAAGATGTCCTTCTTAACAGGAAAATAAATAGAAAAAATTAAAAACAAGTATTGTGGCTAATACGACAGCCCATGCTTCTAATTTTACCTAGTGTACAGTGAAATTAATTTGTGTTTCTTGACAATATAGCAGAGAAGCTTATAACAACAGCTTTTCTGGGATATATTGCAAGACCTTTCTTGAAAACTTTTTATCTGAGAAACATTAAAATGGGAGTTGTCCTCAGTAATGACCCCCCACACATCACTCTTCAAGAAAAATTGAAATATGGTAACTCTAGCACAGAATTGAAGACATATTTAGACATTTTATAACCTGTAACATTATTTTTCTTTCAAAACAATTCTTCCTCTCTACTAACATCAAATACAAACTTATTTTTTTAAAGATGAAATGAAATTCTATATAAATTAGGCAAGCTTTAAGCTGCAGCTTTGTTTAGGTTTTTGTAAATATGACCTAAGTACATTACTGTCTAACTCGACCAGACTTTAACCAAGATACCATGACAGGAAATTAATCTTTAGAAATGACTCATTTACAAATAAACATCAAAAGGAGAGTAATAAATTTTCTTAAATATTTAGTCTAGGGCAAAGAATCTATTTTTTAGATTCACTGGCCAAGATTAATCTGCGAGACAAACATACTTATCAAATCAATAGTGTAACAGCATAAAAAGTCCGATGGCCAAATACCCAAGCAACTAAAGTTGCAATCTGCCAAACTGAGGGACGCGGAATTGAATCCGGACGGATCGAGAAACCTCAGGAATTGAAAACAAACAGAGCGACACTAAAAACCCATCACGACAAACCCTTTGCCAGACAGATAAACGTTTCAAACCGTCTTAAACGATCGTCAACAAGTCGGAGGCATCTTAAACAACCATTATTGAAATAGAATCCGAGAATAACCGTTTAAGACAATCGAAAGCATTTGTTTGTCTAATAAAGTGTTTCTGTCGTCGGTATTTACTTCCGAGAGATATCCAATTATACAAGCAGTTCATTTATATAAATCCCGGGAATGTTTTGTGAGTCGGTCGATCGAGAAACATCTCTCCCTACCGACGGCCCGTTCGAAGGCGTGGCCAAAACCGGGCGGGTAATAACAAAACCCTTAACGGGCACAACCGGAAGAGGTCGCCTCGCTGCACCCAACCAAACCCATAACCGGTATACAGTTGACCCCCCTATAACACTGTTGATTTTTCCGTTTTATATAAATTCCACGTTGTACGAGTCACTTAGATTTTACAAATACGTGAGCCGTTCACAGCCCGGCACACGTATTTGTAAAATCTAAGTGACTCGTACAACACGGAATTCATATAAAACAGTGTTATAGGGGGGTTGAATGTACTAAGAAAAGGGCCTCTTAGCGCCCGCAGCGGAGAGAGTTAGGCCTTTTGTGCTTTGTTTGTACTTCATAAAATAACTTTAAACATTAAATTAAGCTTACAAAATAACATTTAACCAACCTGATCTTCTCCCTAAGGTGTAATTATAATGGAACATATATCTTCATCAGTGAATATAGAAGAAATTGTGGACATCAGAAATGATTAAAGAGCATGTAAAATCTCTTAAATTGCGTTACTTTGTGTTATTAAGCGGTTAAGAGGGGAGAATGTGATGATGTAACAACAGCGTATCAACCAATACGTAACATAGCATGGCAGCAGATAAGGCAACATCCACTACTGCGATACATCTTTCAGATAACATTGTTTATCGTAATATGTCTTCGATAGATTAGTGTTATCGTCCGTTTCCCACCCGTTCCGAAATACAAAAAGAACATATTAAGCCTAACGGTGCAGCGTGTTCGTAAACCTTAACTCACCTTGTTCGTTGGATTTCGACTCAGAAAAACTCACTTCAGCCATTTAAGGCTCGTTTCTTAATCGATTATTGAATAATTTACCTTCCGAATAACGTAAAATGTCACCGATTACTTAAATTATACGATAATTAATCGAGTATACGATTTTAGAGGAAGTTACTATGGTTACTGAAATAACTTCCGCCATTTTGATTTATTACGCCACCAGTGTTCGTTTTTGAGCAGAACTCTTAAAATAATAATATTATTATTAAAAGTTATTCAAGTTTAATTAATAAATGTAATTTTTTTTAAAAAACGTAATTTTTATATTTGTGATTATTTATAATATAACTCTTAATTAGCAAATGGTAATATAAACTGAAATATCGAGCTTTGGTATTTGCACAGCGCGCTCGGTGCAGCACGGAGCGTTCGGTTAATATAATCGAATGCTCCGTGGTATTTTGAACAATGTACCGATTACTCTAAATTTTAAAAAAATAATTTAAGAAATAAATGAATTAAAAGTTAATCGAGAAATTAATATAATTAATTACTTTATATAACAAATAATTTAACAATACATAAGAAAAAAATTATATAATAATTGTAAAATTAATGAACATTCGAATATTATTGGCCGGATGACAGAGCGATTAAGGTGGCAGCCGACCGCTCCGAAGGATCCAAGATAGAATGTAGACTAGATCGAAAAATCTCCAGGAATTTTTCGGGGGTGGTCCATCCGGACACGTCGGGCTCATCCCTCGATATCCGGCAGCCCTATTGTGGGTTTGGCGAACACATAATGGGCTGGCCAAAAGAAGTAAAATTCGCCGGAAACGACGTCATGTCTGACGTATTAATCGCTCTGTTTTTCGCTTTCGCTAGCGAATCGCGTCCAGTGTGAACTAAGCTTTAGTGTCCGCAGGGCGGAAAGAGTTAAAATACAAAATCTTTAAATATATATGACCTTTCCTGCATTTTTTAGTTTCATTCCTTTAATACTACCACTGACGATGGAATTATTTGGAAACACGTCATTGTTTTCTAACGAATTTAAGTTTTACAGGGAACTATTTCTCGCGGAAGAACAAGGTTAGTATGAACGGACTATAAAAACACGTCATAGAAGGTATTGTTCGTAGTGTGTTGGTCTGTGTTGTTTATCGTCTAGAAAATATTGGAATCAGTCGGATAGACACTTTTTAAATGGTTAATTGAGCAATATTATTGTCTTTTGAAGAGGATTTGACGTAAATGTAAGTATTAAACTTAAATACCGAAATTGATTTTACAGTATAAAGTAGGTCAAAGACAAACTGCTATTTTGGTCTTTACGACTTCTTTGTTGTCCGCGTTAGACCGAAGCTAACGTTTTCCATCCCGTAAACAGGTCTTATTTTTTATTAATGAGAATATTTAGACGTATTGTGACGTCATTTCGAACGCAGAATCGAATGATATATATATATATAAATGCGTACGAACTGTTTCGTGCTTTCGTATATTTGTTTCATTTAAGAGAGACCGTTAATGTATACCTAGGTAACTAAAATGACGATGCACACACGGAAAGTATTCCTACAACTTTTTGTTTATACGGATCGTTCTCAAAAACGATACGTGTTTTGGAAATGCTCGAGTCAAATTAGCAGGGCTGTGGAGTCGGAGTAGTGAGTTTTGGTGTTTTAGTCGGAGTCGGATTGGTCAAGTGCAGGAAAACCGCTCAAGTGCAGTTTACTGCACTTGAGCGGTTTTCTTTCATAAAATTAATCGATTCTAGACTAATTTGACTCGAGCATTTCCAAAACACGTATGATTTGTTGAAAACGATCGATATAAAATATGTTTATAAACAAAAAGTTGTCGGAATACTTACTGTGTACCCTGTTCGAAGACACCATTGATTAAGCTTGTTTTCGTGGCGGAGCTGCACGTCGGACGGCAGACGTGTACGAAGTGTCACGTGACATGCCATTTTAAATACGGATTGTAATCAACTTACATATCGCATTATCATACATTACTATAACTAATAATTATGCTTTTAAATGGCCTAATTTCTTTCATGTCTGAGATTATGTTAAAAATTTTTTTCTAGAAATGAGTGATAATCCAAGTAAGTACGCCAAAATGGACGATGGTAGCCGAGCTGTGAGTTGTTAAGTGGTGACCAAACAAGCAATCAAATCTCACAAGTGTCCAACCAGGTATGTTGTAGGACGTATTACTGGTTAAGTTGATAATACAGACCTCGTTCCTTTTTCTTAATTTGCTAAATGCTTGTTGTTTTCTCTTTACAGAAATCAAAGCTAGTGTTCGCGGAGTCTTATTTCACGCTTGAAACAGTGTTTGAAACATTGGGATATGTGGAGAAAACACTGTTTGTCAAAGAATTTTTCGACTGCCAGCCCTGGTTCCAATAACTGCATCACGTCGATTTGTAAAGACTAGCAACATGGACATGCTAAAGCAATTCCCTCTTGGAAATCACGATGACTATAACTTTTATATCGGAGTCTCGACCTATGTGTGCACTTGAAACTCTTTGCGTTCATTTAGCGCTCTGTGAATGGATGATCACGTAAAATGATGTCAAAGAAGCGTCCGGCCAACTGTGGCTGGAGTTGTTCTATTCTGACGGAGACATTCTTTCAAAGGTCTCATCTCCAGCTCGTTACCCTATGGCGGTCCATCTTTTCCCTATTGATACTGAAACCTCGAAGGCATTACTTTCTCAAATAACATCTGTGACCAGATCTGGATCTCTCTTCCAGGACCATCGTGGATTGATATTCTTTCTACCGAGAGGTACAGTACTTATCCACCATCGATTGTCAACATGGGAGAAACTTGGAGAAGAAAAGACGGACGAAATCGACGAAGCCGAATTTGGACGAAGTAGGTACAATAGGGGAAGGATGATCAAAGGTCAGTGGATTTTTTGGGTATCGAGTGGGAGACTCGACTCACCCTTTTAGTACCAGTGGAAATACGTGACGGCGAGACCTCGTTCGCGGTCCTGAAGAAGTGGGTGCTTCCCTGGACAAGTTATAAGTGATTGCTGGAGGGCGTATGATTGCCTTCAGAATGAAGGCTTTCAGCACCTGACAGTAAATAAAACTTAGTTCTGTTGATTCCCGGACGAAGACCCACACCAATACCATCGAGAGGACGTGGCGTGAGGTCCGCTCGAACATTTCCCGGTAAGGAAGGAGGGCTCACATGATCGGATATTTGGCCGAATTTCTTTTTAAGGCCAGATATTCGAAATCGACGAAAAATAAAAAACTGTTTCCTTCAGGCCTCTGAGAGTCTTTACCCCCCCCCCCTGAATACTAACCAGTTCGCGGCGCTTTGCTCGCAACGTTTCCTTTAAAAAACAGCTCTTTTTTAGGGCCATAGTTTTGTAGATATTGTAAATTATTGTGAATATTATAGTTTATTTTAAAGCTTATTGTGTAATTTTGAATTGTTACATTCATAAAGAAAGTATTAAGTTGTGAAAGTGTTAAAACAGTGTCTTTACATTAAAGTTACATTGTCAAATTTTATATCTTACTCTTTACATCGTCCTGAGGTATTAAATAAAATAGACACTTTAATTTTATTACCGAAAAATTTCTTGATTTTTTTATGACCGCCTGAATATAAACTTGGACTTCCAAAGTAGTAGACCGACACCTCTTCTGTCTCGCTATTTAATAGACCAGCGCTGTCCAACTTATCATAGCCTGCGGGCCATATTTTCTTCACCAAACATTTCTGGGGCCAAGAAGGTTGATGAATGAAAAGGGATTGCTGCTGTATTCAGCCAGGTTAAGTGAAAGTTATGCAAACTAAATAGTACCTACTTTAAATTCAAATTAGATTTAAATTTTCACATAGTAAAATAATTTTAATATTATTAATAATAATTTAGTAACAAATTTATTCATAGTAAAATGTACTCGCGTGTCGCCAGTTGGACAGCCCTGTAATAGACCCACTGATACCCACTGAAAAAATTCAAAATATTTAAGTTAAAAACGTTGGTAATTTGGAACTTACAAAAATATATTCGGCTTAATAAGAACAGTCGAAAATTTTGGTTTGAAATTATGAACGAATCAACGTTTGTCGCTTTTCACCTGAGAAGGTTTATAGAACTTCAGGATATATTAACTCGTATTTGGATTATTTTAATTGCATCAGTTGGATTGTATGTTGTTGTGATTTATCGATATATATTTTCACCATATATCAGTTATAAGTGGTCTATAACATTAGGTATTTCTATGTTTCCAGGTATAATTTGCGATATATACATTGTATTATATAACATTGCTTTTATTACTTTTCTCATTCTTTTCGAATTACATAAGATATAATTGTTTGCAATAATTCACCGAATAGATAAAAAAAATCAAGATAGTTCTTTCAAACTTGTCTGGCAATGTTTACCAAAGTGCAAAGCCACTCTTAAATTTTGTAATGATATTCAAAATAACTATTCTATTACAGCTGCCTCTTGATAGTCCGACGTTTTTTAATCCGACATGCTCAGTAGTCCGACGCACATCCTGTCAAGGTAACCGTAGTCCCCGTCCTCGTTACGTGTCTGCTTGCACAGAAGCATGTCGCGACATGAATTTTCCCACCCAATTCTTACACGATAACCCAGATTTCGTGTTTTCCGTAAGCAGTTCTGTTCGAACAGTTGGAGTAGGGAATATTGTAGGTTAGTGCTAGCAAAACAATGCTAAATATGTAATCACTTTCGGTAATCCGGACACTTTTGGTAATCCGACACCCCTTTGGTCACATTCCTGTCAGATTATCAAGGGACAGCTGTATTTTGGCCATTACACTATTTCTTGTTGAATTTTTACTTGGATCGCTTGTAATTACTCCTAAGTTACTGTTTGTTAAGTGTGTACTATGAATATTATTAGTACTCATAGTGGTAGTCCTGCTATACTTGTATTATTTATCGACGACGACATATCTAAGTAGATAAGTATAGTTATTTTAATTAACGTTAATAATAGTAAAGATTTTGATTACACTTTCTATTGATATAATAGTTTTATAATTTTGTAAATTAACATCAAAGTAATTATATCTTGTATAATAGCGTTATTTTTTTCTGCTGTATGAAATAAAAATAGAAATAAAAGCATTATTTCTATTCTCTGTCACATAGGTCCCCTTTTCAGCGAGGGTAATCTGCATGTGCTGAATAGCCTAGCTGAAAACGGTGACACAGAAAAACAGGACGAGACAGGATAGTATCTGAAGAAGTTGCTCCTGCGGATAGTATCTTATGTCACCCAGATTGATAGGCTGAATTTCTAACCGTTTTGCCCATTTGAAGAAACAATACCGATATGTCCCAGGAGCTTTCATTATTTTTACGTATTTATGAATATTTCATTTGAAATAATTTAATTTATAATATTTTGAAATTAGTGATATGTGGTACGTTCAAAACATCCGCGGAAAACATTGTTAAGGCTAAGATATGCATTGTTAATACAAAAGGCAACAGTCTTTTGTATTAACCCTATATATACTTACACAGCATTGCCCTCAAAATGTACCGTTTCTGCTACAACACGTTTTATCCAGCGGTCACACAGTTTGAAAACCTCATTGGCGGTCACTCAAGGTGCAGTTGAGCGACGATCACCTTATCAGCGTTGACAAATTTGCGGCTTTTCATGTTTTTATTCAGCTCAAGTGGAGGTTATCAAGGAAACACGGTTTTAGAAGGACGATCTGTAGAGAAGTATCTGAGTAAATATTCAATCACAGTTGTAATTGGAATGCTTACTGAGATAACTCTGTACAAAAAGAAATTAACGAGTCGGTGAGTTATCGTGATGTAGCACCCGGTTTCTCAAAGCTCATCTGCTTGCTTGCCCATATAAACGTCGAATTTGTTGATGTACAATTCCTAGTTCACAGTTATCCGTTTTGGAATGAACCGACAATGTACAGTACAATACAGCGTTAAAGAGTTAATGTTGTAACTGTAAGAATCCGAACTTTACAAAAATGTAATCGTCGATGACGCCATACTTGCATAATTGTTGTCCTCAACTACCAGTGAAACTCTCTACTTACACTTTCCCGACGACGAAAGCGACGCATTCCCGTGATCCGCTGACTATTTGGGCAGGCGATAACAAAGAAATATTAACGTTGTCGGCCGAAGAGTGAGTCTTTGCCGTTCCTTCCAGAGTAAAGTCAGTACAGTCGACTCCCTATAAGATAGAGATACGTTCCATTCTCTAGGAATCCGCTTTCTTACGAATCCTTCCAATCACAACCCGACACGTGTCAAGTTTACGGACTACGGCTGTTTGAAAGATTTTCTTCCATAAAATTAATCGATTCTAGACTAATCCGACTCAACATTTCCAAAATACGTATATATTTTTTGGGAATAATCCGTATAAACTACGCTATAAACAAAAAATTGTAGGATTACTTACCGAGTGTCACCATTCGACATTGCCATTGCTCAACATTGTTTTCGTCGCGGAACAGCTCAGCAAAGAGCGGCCGATTTCTAACAACTTATTTTTCTGTGAAAACTTCGTAGAACTTCGGAGACATCATTAATATAAATAATTTTAATCGCCGTTGAATAAGAAATGTTTCTTTCACAAGAAATGTATAAAATTACAGTACTGTATTAGACTTACGGTACCTAATTTACATACTGACAGACGATAGTTAGCGTAAAAATCTCCGTAGCGTGGCGCCACGCTAGACGGCGGAAATTATATATTTAATTATAACAAAGTTACAATAAGTTAATATATAATTATATATACAGTACCTAATTTATATATAATTAATATATAATTATATGTACAGTACCTAATTTATATATAATTTATATAATACTGTCCAGACGATAGAAATCTCTCCGTAGCGTGGCGCTACGGACGGCGGGAAAGTAGTTCGGCTTCCCGATGACGTTTGAGGTGTTTATAGGGAACTTTTACTATTTTTTACGGATACCGGTAGCAATTTTTTCGTAGTTTTATAGGAATCGTAACTATAGGGACCGTAATTATAGGGGGGTCGACTGTACCTAACTTTTTCCAATGTTTATTATGTTAGTGCACGAACCTTGTAATTCTAGCCTTTTATTTTTCTGACAGAAACAATTTTTTATAGTATTCGCGAGACTGTCAGGCAGACATTCGTTACGTTTTGCGTCTGTTTTTATTTTCGAAAGATGATAGTATAATAGAAAAGTTAGAAAGTGGGCAGTTGTCTGATGTCTGTTGTTTCTGTGCAGTATAAATCGAACTGGTCTAGATAAAGCCGAAGTTCAATCTTATCTAAAAAATATACTGTATTATCGAGAAGACTCAAGCGGCTAAAGAGGTAACAAAAATCACATCTGAGAAATAAAGAACGCTGAAAATCTGACGGCAGAAGAACGCCAGGTACTCTTGATTGAGGAACACCAAGAAACTCGGCGAGATATGCTTTCTTCCGAGGATTAATGCTGATATCTGCTATTAAAGATCTTTTAAAGAAGTGGAAAGATGTCAGAACAACGGTCTTAGGTGTCTTAGGTACAAATCAGTTTGAGGTTAATACGCACATGGATCAATTACTACAATTAAAATGCTATTAATTCCGAAAAATCCTGAAGAAGAGAGTAAAGCAATTGACATTATTAGATTCTTTAACCGATCACCCACTGTATTTTTAAATTAATTAATGTATATCCATCGTTTATAAAAATAATGCGATATTTTAATAAGTTTATAATTGCTGAAAGAAAGTTTTATACAGTTTGGCATTGTTAGCAGAACAGCAGAAATAGTCTTAAATTTTGTAATGTTATCCAAAATTACTACTCCACTTTCAGTAATTCTACACGAAGAGGAATAAATAAACTGTGTCGATAATTTATACAGTATGTGTAACAATAAAATAGACACTGATATTATATTTTCACAAACACGTATATTATTCAAAATACTTTCAATCGATGAAAGAGAATTGAAAAACACTTAAGAAATTCGACAAACTGTGACTTAAGACATGTTTCTTTCTTCAGACTGTCAAATATCTGATGATATTATTGACAGGAGATGAAGCATCCAATTTATGTGACAATTGCGAAGCATTTCGAGAAAATGTTTTTCTTTTTAGTTTTGTTTGATTGATTACGGCAACGCAACACTTGGGCGATCTGCCTGGGGGTACCTTCCAAGAGGTCTTTTAGGGGAAACCGGCCCCTATTTATTCGTTACAAACGTAAAAAAAAACCCGGAAAACTCCACGTAGCCACCCCGTCCGAGCGGGGCGTGAACCTACGACCAAACTCCCAGTGTTAGGGGTACGAAGACAGCTCGGCCACTGGTGGGCCCGCCTTTCTTTTAAGAATAATGCTTATTTTTAATATTATAAGACAAATTTTGCCCATGTAGGGATCGCCATTTATTCGTTTTTCGTTCCAGACAATACATTTTCGGAGACCGACCTTCCTTTCTAGGCTATTAGCATCCAAAAAGCTAAAAGGTCCTTTTAAAAAATACAAAAAATTTCCAATTAAAAATACAAAGATTTTCTAAAATTGGAACTGGTAGTATACGAACGTCTTTCTTGTTACCATCTGTACCTTTTTGGGGTGTTTCGACTTTTTATCCGCAGAGAAGTGAGCGCTGGAAAATGTAGATTAAAATGGTTCTTCCTGGTGATGATACTTCACAGTTATAAATCGCGAATGCTACAAAAATCAGTCATTAATAATATTTTATAGATACAATTATTTGTCATACAAAAGCTTTTATAGCTACAATGATCAGTCATTCAAGAGCTTTAATAACTGAGCTTATACAGTTACAACGATTTATTATAGAAAAGCTTCTATAGTTGCATCAATCAGTCATAAAAAGCATTTATACATACAATAATTTGTTATACAAAAGCTTTTATAGCTACAATTATCAGCCATCAAGCACTTTTATAACTAAGCTTTAATAAATACAACGATAGATCAGAGAATAGCTTTTATAGCTATAAAAATCAGTCATTAAAAAGCTTTTATAAATACAATAAATTTGTTATACAAAAGCTTTTATAGCTACAATGAACAGTCATTTAAGCTCTTTCATAACTGAGCTTTTACAGCTACATTGATTGCTGTAGCATTATTAAGAAACTTTAGAACTTTAGCAAAAATGCCTTTTATTACACCATGTGAATACTTTGATACTTATCAAATGTTAGAATTATCTACGTATATTTTATCCTTGAAAACATTTGCATATTTTCAAACAAAATATTTTATCGTAGTCTTATCTATGGATACACAACCATATATGCTATAAAAACATTACAAATTGGCTGTTTACCAAATGTCAGAATTTTATATATAAGCTTATGTACTTAAGTTACCGATTCGAAGAACTTTGGTCAAAGGGTTAGAGAACTTTGTTCTAGACATATAGTCACGAATCAGTCCTTAAATTTTACAAGAATACATTAACGTGAAACGTTAATATACTTTACCTCTACTCCACTCGTAGATATGAAAGCTCTTTTATTACTACTCGTTGTATTTAGCTGTACTAAACTACAAAAGTCACCTTCCTTACCTTTTGCTATTAGCAAGTTGAATAATTCTGAGATAATAAAGTTATGAAATGCGGGTGTAGGATATTTACCTAAAATTATTCTTATTTGTAATTTCCATAGGCAATCCGCGATTCAAACAGAGATAATTCAACAGTTGAAATATCTCCTGTTTAGGAAATTTAAAACAAAACGGAATTACTGATTATTATGAAACAATTGATGCAACCAGGTAAACAAAAAACTTTACAAATCAAATTAGATTTAAACATTAAAATGGCTGACAAATCGAGCGAACAAGTAAAATATGCCTTGGATCATTCGCTTCCAGTAACGCAAGTTGCCTCTTCTATTCTAATCATTTTATCTCTAATTACATTAATAATCGATGTATTGTTACTGCAACGATCAGTTTGTGTGTCTTTTACACATTCCGCAATCATCTTTACAAAAAACATCACAAATTTATTTATCGAATACATCGAGTAGTATTATATAAAAGAAAGATATCTCATTCCAAAAGATTAAAGAAGAAACTACTCCGAAAAAAGATGTAGAGCTCAAAGCCATCCATGATGCAAATCAACAACCTGAATCAACACTTGACCTATTCTTTTTGGTTTTAAAAGAAAATTTAGACTAGAGAAAAACTTAAATTTTTTTTTATTAAAAAATTCAAACTCAAACTTATGGAAAAAAAATAAAAACAATTTCATGATTCAAAATAATTTTGACATCAACACCAGTTTGACAATTATGAGAAAAAGGAATAAACATTGACAGAAGAAGGTAATAAAATTTAAATAAAAGAAAAGGGAAAAGAAAAATCATTTCACCTACGTGAAGTTTTTTTTTTTTTTTTCCATGAGGATGAACATCACATTCGCCTCTCTCTACTCTCTTTTCTACAAAATACATATTTTCTTTATTTTAATAGGTCAAGACTCCATTAAAAGAGAAAGTCAATGTTCGCCAAATTCAGGTTGTTGTCCGTCATAACAAGTTGTCCGCCATAGACGGGTTTTATTTGATCTTTCACTTTCTATTTCTAGGTAACTTTCTTTCGTCGTTTTCTTGTATGTTTTTCCAATTAAGTAGTAGGTATAAAATCAAGATAAATTTTTTTCAAGGGTCTATATAGGTCGATTCTTGTCCTACTTGAGTAGCTTCTATAGCATCGCACGTCTTCTTAGTCTACTGTTATTTCGTTGCCGAGTTCAAACACTTTTCTACCGATTCTGGGTTTTATTCGATCTGCGTAAACACGTAATTTTTTTTTAAATTTTAACATTTCCAATTTGGTAACTAACGAGACTCGATACTTCTCTTATTGGATACGGACCCGACCATCGGAGTGCCAATTTTAGTTTTATTACCTGCGAGACAACTACTTCTTTTACAAAAACTCTTTTTCCTAGTTAATTATGTGGCGGTTTGTTTTGTTATCGGTGTCCTTCTTGCCTTGTTTCTGCGGCGTGTTCGGCATATTTTTGTGCTGTCTGACGACTGTTGATTATTCGCTGTCGTAATTGCAATGTGAAGTTGTCTTCTTCGTAGGATATTGTCGCAGGGCTGGTAACTAATTCAAATGAATATGTTAGTTGTCTTTCATACAACAGACAAAATGTACTCTCGTTAGCGGAGACAAGCAGTGCGATATTATAGGCGAATAAAGCATATGGGATCCATTCGTTTAAATAAGCGTTTTATTCATTTGTTTGACAACACCACTACATGTTGGGTGATAGGATTATAACGGAAAGTGTATAAAATATACTTTTTTACGCTTAAAGGTATCAGTATTTGTTTCCACAAATTTGTTCGCCTTCTATTTGCGCGTACTGATATAATTTAAAGTATCGTACGGCCCAAAACAGTAGCTAGACACTCTTTCTCCGTAGTACTGTTTTCTAATTGAAATTTTTTTATCAATTGACTTGCAGATGAGATCAATTCTAATAGCCAAATTTTCCAAATCGGGTCTTAAAAAACTATATTAAATACAAGTATATATGTTGTACTGATAATAAACAGGATGTTAAATTAAAAAAGAAAATTAATTTACTTAACTTTGATTGCTTTTATTTTATACAAACGAAGTAAAACACAACGGAAAAAATGTTAATTGTGTAAAACAGATAAATGTATTTCACACTTTATTCGTGTTATTTTAAAAATTCAGTAAATATAATAATTTGTCAATGACATTTAAAATATTTAATTATTAATGAATTTCCCGTAGAAATGTTGATTTTCTTTTACTTTATCGACATCCTCGAGTGCTGCCGGATGAAGTAATTAACGGCAAATGCATTTTTCTCCGGAAGATCGTTAACAACTTGTACTTGCGATAAACCGCGTGTTTACTTGACTAATTATTAAATTTACAAGTATCATTAAATTTCAACTTCATTTTATAATTCACTTAAAGTATGTATATTTAGCTTCAATTTAAAAAAAATCGCAGTATTACAAATTTGCACTTCATTCAGTTTGTCTGTGGATTTGTCTGTTTTGTCTTAATGTTTAGAATAAAGTCAGATGGATATAATTAGAGACGGATATGGAACTAATAGAAACAGGAGACCCAGTTTAAGTATACGAGATATACAGATACAAATTAGAAGACACATTATTTCGATTCAAACGTTTCTCCCTCAAAGCTGCTAGATTGATGACCGCCACGACTGTTTTGCTATCAGGAAAAGAATATTGTACAGGAGGAAGAAACTCCTAATTTGTTGTTAAGTATATATATTTTAATTATCACAATACAAGAAAGAAGCTAACATTTATTGTCACCTGTTGTGGCAATAAATATTAGCTTCTTTCTATATCGTTAGTACTGCAGTCGATGACTTTATTTATAAATGGATTGTTTATTTGTCACATTAAAGATTTTAATTTGGAAAGTAATTAATACATTGTAAACACATAATTCAGTTATATTTTTACCCTTCGGTCACTTTCCGCTTTACTTTACATTTCGAATCAATAAAAGGAAATTACTAATTAAATAAATCTGTTTTTGATATTTTAAACAGAAATTTAATAACTAATTTCAGCTAATTTCTAGTATCGACAAGCTGCAATTAAATAAACCACGTCACACGGAGTCGTAATCTAAAACTTAAAACGAACGGAAACTCGTGTGTAGGTCAATTAAAACTCGAAGTAGAAGCGTAAAGTGTGGAAGACCAAACAGGAAATCACTCGGTAAGTATTCGTTTTATATAAAAAATTTTATTGAAAGTAAATATTTCTCCAGTTTTTGTAATTTTTTCGTAATATAAGAATTACAATTATAAATCTAAAATTAGCTCTAGATTGAATTCTATAACTAAAACTTGATTCCGTGTTAAATATTTCTATTTTTAATATACAGAAATTAAAGTATAAATAGATATTAATATCGTTACATGAATTTTGGAGTGGTTCGTATCACAGCTTTATCGTTATAACAAAGAAAACGAATCGCAAGTTTTTCTGATTATTCCTTTAATAATCACTTTAATTAGTGAAATACTTACGTGCAATGAAATAATCTTTTGCTGTGAATTTCTCGGGGCGTAGTTTAAATTTATTTTTTATTTAATTGTTAGCTTTTAAATTCGTTATTAAAAATCCAGCAACGATTCGCTTAACTTTACCAGAAGCATTTGTTGACGCCGTGTGTTACGATATTTATAAAAATGAAGTTTCATATTATTAATTATAAAATGGTCAAATAACTGAATTATTAGAATAAGAATAAGTTTTATAAGATAAATTGTAAAGCCTAATAACGGCTAAATTTGTATTTACTTTGAAAGTACAGGAGATATGACATCCTCCTCAGTGGATGTATCCACTGAGGAGGCCTAGATAGCGAAATGTATATGGATAAATTTAATAAAGTGATGATTGTTTTTTGCCATTTGTTTGTCTTGTTTTGGCTCATAGAATCCTCCAAGTCGGAAATAAAAAGAGTATAATTTTACTTGTTTTTTAACTAAAAATTTTTTATTTTTAGTATATTAAAGAGTATTATCTTTTAGTAGCAGTAATGTGAGATTGTGTCCTTTATATTTAAATGTAATAATTAAATCACACATCTATGATAAGTAACGACAGCTAATTATAATACAGAAAACATTTGTGTTGAACACGATAAGACCATTGCTTAATCAAGCAATTTTCATTTTATTGTACCATATTTAATTATTTTATTTATTGCTTTAGACTTTAGTGTATTATTAACCTGTATAATTGCTTTATTTTTCCTTAAATTACGTGTACTCGCTGTCCTATGTTCATCGAAATAGATATCGTTTCAACTTGAAAAATAGTTTAATTGACTCCGTTATTTATGACGAAAAATCTTCTTCGAACTTCGAACGAATCGCCAGCTAAACCGAATTAAATTTGGAAAATTCAGCAATGATGCACCTACGTGTTTAATATTGTATAATTTTCTTTCTGACAAAGCTAATAATATTTTATTTCTGCTGAAAATTATTTGTAATTAATTTTTATATTGAATATCAATAGATAATGAAGAATATTAAAGAAAACGACTATAAAATCCATATAAAAATACTCTATTTTTTAATACTGCTGCTATTCCTGCTTGTTCTCGTACTGTCGTTTATATTCATGTATTTACTTCAACATTCGAATATTCGAATGGCTTCACCCGTTAGCGAAGTGGGCAATATGAAGTCTCGAACAAGTAATAATGAGGATGACATCATCAATCAAAACACTATTGGTCACCAGGCGAAGAAAAGAGAAGTCTCGTCTGAAACCGAAAAAGATTGCCAAGGGAATTGTTCTCTGACACCAAATCCTTCTGAAATAAACGACAGTACAATAAATATAAAGGGAGATTGGAATGTACAAGTAAAAGTAAGAGTTTAGTTAAACCCGAATAATTTAAAATAATTAGAAATTAATTACTTAAAATAATTAATAAGCAGAACAATGTGTCACTTTTATTTGTATGAATTGTCTTTCGTTTGTTGTTTATGTAGAAAGCCGATCTCTTAGAATACTGTTTCACTGCCGATGACTTATGTGGAAGAAACAGAGAGATATCAAAAGGTATTTCTTTTATTATATATAAGACTTATATATAGAAATTTTTGTGGAATAAAGAACAACGATATTAATATATTAACGTTTATTTAAACAGACGAAGAGAAAGACAATTTTGGAGGCGAAAAGCAACAAGAAAATAAAAGTAAGATAATTTTCTGACTTGTGTTTAATCATATCTAGAATTAAGTTTGACGTTGTACAATTAGTATTTATAGAGACTTGATTTATTGGTAAAATTGATTTGTTATGTTTCGAACGTAGCAAGAAAATCATGCAAAAATTCTTTTATTTCTAATTTTACTATTTTTGAGGTAATGAAACAATTTCTCTTACAAAACAGAAATGTTTTAATTATCTTGTAACATTTAAATGGTTCAATTTTTACTCAAAGTGAATATTGTGACGTATTATATGTTGGTAAATACTTTTATATTTCAATAATTCTGAATAAATGTGCAATTTATTTTTAAATAAATATAAACGAAATTAAATAATGAATCGAAGTTTTGTTTTTCAGATTGCATTCTTCAAAATTTTACAGATGATGACGCTTTTCAGTATCGGATCGTCAATTTTCGTTTTCAAGTAGATGATAACTCAAGGAAATTTTGTAATATTGAAGAAGGTCCAAAAGACAATTTCAAGATTACTTCAAAAACAGTATTTACGCGTTATATACAACAATTTCAAGTTAATGAAAACGGAGAAGTGAAAATACTGAAAGATTTGGAACTTCCTAAAGAAATGTCATTATTTGAAGTTATAGAATACAACGGATATATTTATGGTCGAGATCGAGATATTTCGAAAAAAAGAATTGTCAAGTATAACATTGAAACGGGAAAGTTGACTTTTGGGGATAAACTCGATTTTCGTTCGTATCCCCGTTTATATTTCTTACACGGAAATAACTTTTTCTGGGCACTTGACCGTATAAATACAACACGGACTTCACAAGATTGTTTTGACAAGCTTTTCGTGGCATATAAAATAGATTTAGATAATTTAAAAGTTTCGTCAAAGCTGAATTTTACTTTGAATAATTGTTTGTCAAATCGCGTGTTCATTACTCATGATAAACCGTATATCGTTACTCATCGCCCTGGTAAAATTTATATTACGTCGGCTTTAAACAACAAAGAGTTTGTATACTTTGATGTACAGCCAAACTCATACTATAATGAACGTTTCTTGTATAATCCGAAAGAACAAAATCTTTACTTACACACTACTGATGATGAACAAAATTATAAAATTCTTGTAAAAAAGTTACACTTCAATTGTTCAAACGAAGATTGACGAGTCGCGTCAAAACTTGAATTATTTTCTTTTAATTTTTACTTTTTTTATATAAAATTGTGTTTGCTTTTAATGATCAGGGAATTTTATCGATGATGAAGGTGATTAGTCGCAGCCATCCCAATTAGTGTTGTTGATATACGTTGAAGTTATCAATTTAACTAAACGATTGCTTAAACGAATGGGTTGAAAATCCGCTATTATTACTGATTACATACTAATTTATTATTAAACGTAGACGCCAAGCGGATTCTTTTATGTTAATAAAAACTTATTAATTATATTATTATAATATTATTTAGTATCTAATCATTAATAATGGTGGATTTATGGCTCGATTAAACGGATCGTTTAATTGAGTATTTAGGTATCGGGCTTCGGTTTATTTAGACATGTTGTCAGTTGTTTCCGTCTTTCTGGTTTTGTTCGGTGCTCAGACAATTGTAAAATTTTTGTACTTAAATTTTTAAGTACAAAAGTTGAGGATCAGAAATTTCGTGTTATAAACCTTAATCTTCTATAAATTTTAATTAAACTTTAAATGCAATTCTCTAAAGACAGAATGAGTTATTATAAATTAAGAAAAAAAAAAGAAAAATATAATCGAGAAAATCAGGTTAAACCTCGGTTCTCACCAGTTGGGTTCCTTGTTGAGTTGAATAAATCTCTGTGTCACGTTTGTATCACTTGTCACTTCATAGGTCCAAGGAGATCGTCATCTATGACGAAATCTGGAAAAGGCCCGAAAGGAGCACGTCTTATAAAAAGGGTAGGCACGACGAGTAAGATCGTGGAAATTACGATTTGATTGTGTGTGTGTGTGTGTGTGTGTGTATGCTTCACGTCCACCTCAGTAATGTAAAAGACAAAAGTTTTATGCTAACTGATGAAAAGTTATTACGATTTATATGAGAAATGATGACAGTTAGAGTGACTGACAAGAATGAACCTGGAGAGTACTGGTTACTTCAATATTATAATGTTCTGAATGTTTGTTATAGAATACAAATTGATCGCGAGCCGTAAAGTAGGCTTTTAACATGTAGCTCTCGTTTAGTGTATGTAGATCTAATTTTCGTATAAATTGCAGCTGCATTACTGTAGTTAGAAAAAGCTCTCTCGAAATTAATACTAGTTGAACGTACTGTCATTAGAGCATTGAAACCTTTTTTAAGATATGTTCCTTATTTTTTGCTCTAAGAAATAATTGTTGAAACTTGGTATTCGAATCTACAACAGACACTGTTATAGCCAACAAAAACTTTTATTTTAAACAACAAGAAGAAACACTACAACTTCACACGACTTAAGAAAAAAAAGGAGGGAAGAGGAAAAGAAAAAGGATAGAAGGAGCTTACAGCAAAAACGATAAACGTTGCCACTAATCAACAGATGATAAAAATGTTTCTTTCCTTATTATTCAACAACAATGTATTTTTTTCAACTATATTTTTCACATTTTTAAACTACTTATATTACTGTTATCAGTGTCTACGCTCGTTTTATGTTTAATTAATAATTCCAATTTTTCTTTTGTTGTTAAATTTGACTTTCCTATTGTGCACTTCTCGTGTCGACGTAAAAGGTTGATGGTGTAGTAAACAATGTAAGCAATGCCCACCTCTTAATAATTTGTTTTTATTTTTTGATAAGTGCTTGATTGTTTTTACAATCCCATTCGAAATTATATTTTTCTTTACATTATTGTATATTTTTTCTGTAACTTATTTTTGTTCAATTTGTTCCTGTATTATACTCCAATTACAAGAAGCAAATTCTTTCAAATCGGTATTAAAACTCTAAGCAAATAAAATTAAATATGCCGTTTTAATTATATACGGGATGATAAACTTAAACAGAAAATCAATTTTCTTAGTTTTAATTTTTTTTTTTTTTTTAATTTTACGTAAACAAAGTAAAACACATCAGAGTAAATGCTATTTCTGGAACACAGAGAAGTGTATTCGACATTTTATTCGTGTAATTTTAAAAATTTATATAGTGAAGACGTTACTAAGTAAATTGCCCAATCTGTGAAGAGAATTTAAAAAAATTTTTTTACTAAATATACTATAACTTAAACACAGTTTTATATATAAAAAAACAGTTATTACGAAAATGTTTAAATGTTTTTTAAACATAAATTTCCATTTTAAATATAGATTAATGTAGCAATAATGTAGCAATGATGACAGATTGTGTTATTTATACTTAAATGTAATAATTAAATCACACGTTTATGATAAGTAACGACAGCTATTAATATTACAAAAAAACATTTCTGTTAAACACATTATAACCATTGTTTGTTCAGGCAATTTTAATTTTATTATATATCATACTTAAATAATTTATTTATTGTTTTGGACTTTAATTTATTATTAATGCATTTAATTGCCTTATTTTTACCTTAAATTACGTGTAATCGCTGTTCTATGTTTATGGAAACCGATATCGTTTCGAGTCGGAAAATAGTTTAATTGACTTTCCGTTACTTATAACGTGAAGATTTTTTCGGACTCCGAACGAATTTTTCGAATTTAATTCGTTTCAGCAGGCCATTCGCCTGCAAAAACGAATTAAGTTCGAAAAATTAAACAATGAAGCACCCCGTATTTAATATTATATAGTTTTTATCTCTCACAAAGCTGATAATATTTCATTTTTGCAGAAAGTTATTTAATAATTAATCTTTAAAATTTATAACAATAGCATAATGAAGAATAATATAGAAAACGACAATAAAATTAAAAAAAAAAAAAAAAAAATTTGCACATGCGCATTGGCACCGCGCATGTATTATTCAAGTTCTCTGTTTTTAGTTCCATTTTTTGGTCATATTCCAAAGCTATTT